TTTTTTTTTTTTTTTTTTTTTTTTTTTTTTTTTTTTTTTTTTTTTTTTTTTTTTTTGCTGAATTATAACAAATTTGTATAAGAAAGGGATCTATCGTCTGGATTTAATACGCAAAAAGAGACACAAATTTTAGACATAATTTTGAAAACTAAGAGGCAAAAAAAAAAAAAAATAATAATAATAATAATAATAAATAAATAATATATACATTATCAAATTTATAGAGATTAATAATTTTTTGTGATTTTTGTGGAATTATATACCATAATTTAAAGTTGTATGTCTCATAAAAATTGGCTTAACAATTAGACAAATGAAAAAAAAAAGGAGTATTTTTATATATTAAAAAAGAGAGTATTTATATATAAAATTGAGAGTATCTATATGTTTTTTTTTCTCAACATAATATAATTTCTAAAGAATTTGAATCAAATTGGTTAATGGAAGTTGATGGAAGTTTCTGCCTTTTGAAAAGTCAAAAGTTTGACTTTGTATTCTTTCCTAGGTGGACTTGACTTTTCTTATTCAATTACATCATTCCAAATTATGAATTAAAAAAATTAATATAAACCACGAGCGTGTTGGAAAAACTTTTGGAAAAAATATTTTTTAAATAAAACAATTTTTTTTTTTGGGCTAGCATGGTTGACTCAGAGATATTATCGATATATTACGATGTCACCGTTACCTCCACAGTTTTAAAATGCATCTGTTGTGTAGAAATTTTTATAATGAATGTTTTGTTTCTTGTCTAAATAAGAAAATTAATTATTTGAGTGTTAAAAAAATTTATATTTATATTCGAGTTCATTTAGCTCAACCCAAAATTAATTATACTAAACTCAATCGAAAGAAGTTAGAATTGATAAAAAAGACTTAGTATGTATTCAATATAGTGAAAGAACAAAAAAATGTTATTCAAAGCAATTAAACGTGTAAAAACATGATTTTAATAGAAAGTATTTCAAACATACGATCAATTTATATCAATTTAAAATTATAAGAGATATGTTTATCGTTCTAATAAATGGGTAGTTTTTCTAAAAGACAAAATTACATGAAACTTAAGGTATATAAAATAATTTGTTTTTCTAACGTAACACATTATCGAGCTGCAACTGTAGTAACTGTAACATTATTGGCTGAATATCTATCTAAGTTTGGTTGAGAAGATTCTGTGCTACTTTCATATGGTCTGCCAACAAAGCCGGGTTGATTTGGAGAAGGAAGATCAACGATTTCACTGTTAAGCATGGAAATGATAGTGGAAACATTTGGCCTATCATTTACAAATTCTTGAACGCATAAGAGCCCCACTTGAATACATCTCAAAATCTCTAATTGGTAACATGGTTCATATATTGTCGGTTCAATCAAAGGAATAAGATTGTCTTCCATCCATAGCTTCCATACCTGAAACCAAGCGTAAAAAGTAGTATGAGTGCTCGAGATTTGAATGTTATCATTCAACTTTGAGAATTGGGAGTTTTCATTGACATACAAATCCCAGTAAGCTTATGGCATGTTGATGGCCATAGAACTCTGTATTTCTTTTTCCACTAATAATTTCGAGCAATAAAACTCCGAAACTAAATACATCTGATTTTTCTGAAAATTGACCTTGCATTGCATACTCAGGAGACATATATCCACTATTATTCATAGAAACAAACGTGCCAAGTTAGTTTTTGTCAGCTATGCAAAATTAAGATTTGAAGTAATTTAAAATGGTCGGGAGAAACTTACTAAGTTCCAACAACTCGTAAAGTGTTTGCTTGAACCTCGTTGCTGTAAAAAATTCTTGCCATGCCAAAATCTGAAATTTTAGGGTTCAAATCTTTGTCTAACAAAATGTTACTTACTTTGAGATCTCTATGAATGATTTTCAATCTCGAATCCCTATGAAGGTAAAGAAGACCTCGAGCAATTCCATCGATAATTTTAAATCTTTTATTCCAATCGAGGAATTTTTTTACACGGGAGCCTACACATAAATTTTAATTTTGATTAGTTCATCAAAACTCTAAACCAAATTAAGCTACTTAAAACGTCATTCTAAACTAAATCGTGTAGTCGTAATTGTTAAAAGTGAGGGGGGAGAGTATCTAACCAAAGATGAAGGCATCCAAACTTAGGTTGGGCATATACTCATATATTAACATCTTCTCTTCTCCTTCAATGCAACATCCCAAAAGGCGTACAAGATTCCTGTGTTGCAGCTTTGAAATCACTCTCACTTCGTTTATAAACTCTTCGTACCCTTGTTTAGAGGCTCTTGAAAGCCTCTTTACTGCTATTTCCTGTCCATTCAATAACCTCCCCTGAAAACAAGAACATTATCTTCCAACCCATATATGCTTCCAACTAATCAAAACATCAAAAGCAAGCCATAAATGTGGCTACCTACCTTATATACGGGCCCAAACCCACCCTGCCCAAGCTTGTTGCTCATATCAAACTCATTGGTTGCAATTGCTAGCTTCTCAAAGTCATAAAGTGGCAGCTCCTCAAGTTTGATATCATCCTCAATCATAGTATCACTCTCCCGTGTTTGCTTCAAATTCTTTTCTCTTTCACCATACGTCAGCATTATCCTCTTCTCTGTTAAGAACTCAAATGTTAGTATGTATGTCAGTATTTGGGCTTGGCTATAAATTTAAATCTTTTGTTACTCTGTTTTTTAGTCTTCCATTTCCAGCAAAAGGCTATGGCAACGATGAAGGTGACAAGCGTTGCTGGTACAACTACGGCTATAGTAATTCGTTTCTTGTCTCTTACATTATCTGCGCCGCAAATGACAGAAATGTTTGAGAGATTTAGATGGAAATAATGAAATTGTAGGAAGTTTGGGAAGAGTGTACTTGAATCTAAATCTGCGAATGCCATTCGAAGGTACAGATCTGCTCCACCTCTCTCGAACTTTTGTATATCAATTAAGGCATTCCTCCAGTGCATGCATATTTCATTCTCAAATGCATAAGAAGAACACCGACAATTTTCCAAGCAGTCGCGCCTGCAATCGTCTACTGAAGCAGAGGAATTAGACCACTCTGCCAAAAATGGAACTTTAACCATTTCCAGTTTAGAAAACCCATCTTCCTCTGTACTAGACCTGTTCTCGCATTTTAATGGCGTCTTTCTCACACACCCATTACTCCAATTTCCTTGATTCCATTCCTCTTCGTGCTTTGGCTCAAACCCTCTTAAGCAGCTGCAAACAGGGGATGTTTTCGCATTACAGATCCCAAACGCCCCACAAGCGCCATACAAATCGCACTCTGTTTTCTGAGCTGACCAACTAGCACTCCAGTGCTGCTTCTCAGCATCCCAATCCATTTGCTGAACAATCCCTTGTGAGTTCAAGAACAAATAAGAAAATTCTCGAGCGACATATTTAGAAGCAAGAGAGAGAGTGTAAGTTTGGTCTTCGATTGCGAGGTTATATCCAGAGAGGTAAACAGAGTTCATTTCAGGTATTCCAATAAAGGACTGACCGCTCCATGGACCGGAGCGCCAAAATGTGTCCCGACCATTCAAAATGACAGCTTCAGGGATATTATGAACATCCAGCTGAAATAAAAACTTTCCAGTAGCTGGATCGGAAGGGGTGTTCCATGAGGTATAGCCGATCACCTCTTTAGTTCTTGTGTTCGTCTTAATCTTCATGGAAGTCAAGAATTTATCACAAGGGTGTTTGAAACTCTCCCATATAATCACCCCAGACGTAGAATCTTTCAGAACCAGGTTTCCGGAATCTAAAATCTGAGCACTGGTATTGTCGGTTCCAATTACAGAGGAAGAAACATTCGACGACCAAAGAATGTTGTTGTTTGAATCCAAGACGACAAGATTCCCATCATTGGAAATAGTGAAAATCCCAGAAGTATCTTTGATAGGGTTGTCTCTGTTGGCCACCCATACTACAGCTTGTGAAGAAATTTTGTGGAACCAAATTCCGACATATCGGCGTGTAGAATTAAGAGGCGAGAAGAACCCCAACGAGAAAACACCGCCATTAGATATAATGGTTGCTGGGTCTTTGATGAAATTTGCTGGAGTGATGGTATCGCCGGCAAAGCAAAATCTTGAACAGAAGGATGTGAATGAAAGCAGCAGCAGCAGCAGAAGAAGAAGAACAGATCGATAACATGTAAAGCTGCAAATTTCTTGTCTCCATTTCATGACTCTTCGCTAAACTTTTGAAATTTCTGAATGTTGTTATTGTTATTTTTCCACAATTTCTCCAAACTATTGAAAGTCCTTGGAATTCTCCCTATATTCAAAGTTTATGCTTTCCAAAAGGTGACTCAACTGAAAACGAGTAAATCTATTTTATATTAACCCTGAGTAACAACTATCTATATTTTCATTGCAATTATGTAAATATTGTATTATTTAAGCTTTTATTCTCGAATTTTCTCTCAAATTTTTTAAAATACGTCTGTTAGAAGAGGTTTTTACCTTCTCCCTCCCACCCAACTTAAAGATCTTACCCTTAAAAGATTAAAAAAACTTCAAAACAAAAATTAGTGTTTTAAATCCAAGAGTGTTATTGCATGTTAGTTGGGTAATGTTTTTCTTTGAATAAAATGCATACAATTTCTTTATGTGCCACAAATTTGATTTCATTAGATATTATACTCTTAGTGTTCTTTCAAGGAATAAATTAAGGGTTAGTTGCATATTTTAGGTAACACATGTTTTGATCGACTTAATTATATAATACCAATTGTGATTTTTAGTTGAGTACTTTGTTTCTTTTTAAAAATCGATGTTTTAATCAAGGTTTCGTAGGTCGACGTCGACGTCGACGAAACTGTCAAAGATATCTCAATTTTGTTGAAACATCCATCAAAATATTGAGGTTAAACTGTTGAGGTCAATATTTAATATAAAAAAGAAATTAAAAAAAATTAATTAAAAATAAATATTTGACTTTTTTTTTACCTTTAAAAAAAAATATTCGCTTGACTTGAACATGATTTAATTTTTTGTTGATAAACACAGTTGAACATTTATCGGAGAAGTTATTAACTGTGAAGTATTTCTTACCGCAGTTATTAGTGGTTCGACATTGTGCTTGAAGTACTTTGGTATAAAGATACTCTCCCCTCAAGTTATGATCCCGTTATTTATATGTTTTTTTTTCTATCTTGGTTATTCGTTTTGGTGTACTTCAATCGAGGATCAAAACCAACATCGACGTCAATAATATTTATTGTTATTTTTGTTATATTCTATCGATTTTTAGATATAATGGAAATAATTTACTAGTAGCTAACATTATATGAATTTTACATTACAAGAGATGGCTCATCATTGAATAAATTGATAGTTTTATATAAAATGACACGCATGAAATAATTTGTTTTCCAAACTCAACACATTATCGAGCTATAATTGTGGTAAGTGTAACATTATTTGCTGAATATTTATCTGAATTTGGTTGAGAAGGTTGTGTGTTACTTTCATGTGGTCTACCGACAAAACCCGGTTGCTTTGGAGAAGGAAGATCGACAATTTCACTGTTGAGCATTGAAATAATGGTGGACACATTTGGCCTATCATTTACAAATTCTTGAACGCATAAGAGCCCCACTTGAATGCATCTCAAAATCTCTAATTGGTAGCATAGTTCATATATTGCTGGTTCAATCAAAGGAATAAGATTGCCTTCAGTCCACAACTTCCATACCTGAAACCAAATTTAAAAAGTAGAATGAATTGACGAGATTCGAAATGTTATCCCGAATTTGGGAGGAGGTTTTTGGTAAACATACAAATCCCAATAAGCTTATGCCATATTCATGGAGGTAGAACCCTGTATTTCGTCTCCCGCTAATAATTTCAAGTAGTAAAACTCCAAAACTAAAAACGTCTGATTTTTCTGAAAATTGACCTTGCATTGCATACTCAGGAGACATATATCCACTGTTATTCATAGAAGCAAAAACACACGAGTGAATTCTAGTTAACTATGCAAAATTATGAATAAGGTAATTTACAAATGGTCAGAGACACTTACTAAGTTCCGACAACTCTTAAAGTGTTTGCTTGATCTTCATTGCCGTAAAAGATTCTTGCCATGCCAAAGTCTGAAATTTTAGGGTTCAGATCTTTATCTAACAAAATATTACTTGCTTTGAGATCTCTGTGAATGATTTTCAATCTCGAATCCCTGTGAAGATAAAGAAGACCACGAGCAATTCCATCGACAATATCGAATCTTTTTCTCCAATCGAGAATTTGTTGTTCGGGAGAGCCTACACAGGTAGATTCTAGTTTTGGTGAGATAAGGAATACTCTAAACCTAACTGTCAAGAGTGAGTGGAGAGTATCTAACCAAAGATGAATGCATCCAAACTTAAGTTGGGCATGTACTCATAGATCAACATCTTCTCTTCTCCTTCAATGCAACATCCCAAAAGGCGTACAAGATTCCTGTGTTGCAGCTTTGAAATCACTCTCACTTCGTTTATAAACTCTTCATACCCTTGTTTAGAGGCTCTTGAAAGCCTCTTTACTGCTATTTCCTGTCCATTCAATAACCTCCCCTGAAAACAAGAACATTATCTTCCAACCCATATATGCTTCCAACTAATCAAAATACCAAAAGCAAGCCATAAATGTAGCTACCTACCTTATATACTGGCCCGAAGCCACCCTGCCCAAGCTTGTTGCTCATATCAAAGTAATTGGTTGCAATTGCTACCTTCTCAAAATCATAAAGTGGCAGCTCCTCAAGTTTGATATCATCCTCAATCATAGTATCATTCTCCCGCGTTTGCTTCATCTTTTCTTTTTCACCAGACGTCATCATTATCTTCTTCTCTGTTAAGAACTCAAATGTTAGTATGTATGTCAGTATTTGGCCTTGGCTATAAATTTAAATCTTTTGTTACTCTGTTTTTTAGTCTTCCATTTCCAGTAAAAGGCTATAGCAATGATGAAGATCACAAGCGTCGCTGGTACAACTACGGCAATAATAACTCGTTTCTTGTCTCTTACATTATCTGTGCCGCAAATGACAGAAATGTTAGAGAGATTTAGATGAAAATAATGAAATTGTAGGAAGTTTGGGAAGAATGTACTTGTATCTAGATCTGCTAATGCCATTCGAAGGTGAAGATCTACTCCACCGCTCTCGAACTTTTGCATATCAATTAAGTCATTTCTCCAGTGCATGCATATTTCATTTTCAAATGCATAAGAAGAACACCAACAATTTTCCAAGCAGTCGCGCCTGCAATCGTCTACGGAAGCAGAGGAATTAGACCACTCTGCCAAAAATGGAACTTTAACCATTTCCAGTTTAAAAAACCCATCTTCCTCTGTACTAGACCTGTTCTCGCATTTTAATGGCGTCTTTCTCACACACCCATTACTCCAATTTCCTCGATTCCATTCCTCTTCGTGCTTTGGCTCAAACCCTCTTAAACAGCTGCAAACAGGGGATGTTTTTGCATTGCAGATCCCAAACGCCCCACAAGCGCCGTAGAAATCGCACTCTGTTTTTAGAGCCAACCAACTAAAGTTCCAGTACTGCTTCTCAGAATCCCAATTCATTTGCTCAACATTCCCTTGTGAGTTCAAGAACAAATAAGAAAATTCTCGAAAGGCATATTTGGAAGCAAGAGAGAGAGTGTACGTTTGGTCTTCGATTGCGAGGTTATATCCAGAGAGATAAACAGAGTTCATTTCAGGTACTCCAATAAAAGACTGACCATTCCATGGACCAGAACGCCAATAAGTATCACCCCCATTTAAAATGACAGCTTCAGGAAGATCATGAACATCCAGCAGAAATGAAAACTTACCTGTAGATGGATCGGAAGGAGTGTTCCATGAGGTAAATCCGACCACCTCTTTAGTCCTTGTGTTTGTCTTAATCTTCATGGGAGTCCAGAATTTATCACAAGGGTGTTTGAAACTCTCCCATATAATCACCCCAGACGTAGAATCTTTCAAAACCAGGTTTCCGGAATCTAAAATCTGAGCACTTGTGTTGTCGGTTCCAATTACAGAGGAAGAAACATTTGAAGACCAAAGGATGCTGTCGTTTGAATCCAAGACGACAAGATTCCCATCCTTGGAAATGGTGAAAATCCCAGAAGTATCTTTAACAGGGTTGTCTCTGTTGGCCACCCATACTATGGTTTGTGGGGAAAATTCCTGGAACCAAATTCCGACATATCGGCGGGTTGAATTAACAGGCGAGAAGAACCCCAACTCGAAAACACTTCCATTAGATAAAATGGTTGCTGGGTCTTCGATGAAATTTGCTGATGTGATCGTATCGCCGGCAAAGCCAAATCTTGAACAGAAGGATGTCAATGAAAGCAGCAGCAGCAGAAGAAGAGATCGACAGCACGTAAAGCTGCAAATTTGATGTCTGAATTTCATGGCTGTTGGCAGAATGCAAATTCAACTAAACTTTTGAAGCTTCTGAATGTTGTTCCTTGAGAGACAAGATTGTAAGCAGCTGCTACAAAGTCATCCTTTAGGCTCGTTTTAGTCTTTTGTTATTTTTCCAACCTATTGTTATTTTTCATTTAAATTCTCCTATTCCTTCGTTGAATCTGTAGCCACCAAAAAAGAAACTTTGGGTTTTCTTGTTTTTAATAATCCCTTGCAATTCTCCATATATTCAAAGTTTATATTGTTCAAACCTTAAATTTCTAGATGAAAAATTTATTTTAAAATAAAGTTTCTAATATGAACTAATTATTGCTGGATGAAAGTTCCACGTTCGTTAATTTAGGAAATGATCTGTGTTTATAATCAAATAATATTATCTTCATTGGTACGAGACATTTCGAGAAGCCGAAAGCAAAGTCATGGCAGCTCATATTACTTTTATTATATGTTATCAAAAAAGATTTGTTGTTAGGGGTGTATAAGAGTCAGGTTGGGTCCGTTGATGAACATCCTGTAAGTAATTGTGCAAGATATTATATTTATCAACTAAAAGGTAAAAAAAAATCAAATTTTTACTCTCATAAAGGGTTGAATTAAAAAAATTACAAGTTTATAATTATGATTACAATATCATCGACCTATAATTGAGGTAAGTGTAAGACTGTTTGCGGAATGTTTATTTATGCATTGTTGAGAGATGTCTGCATTACTGGGAGCTGGTCTACCAATAAAGCTAGGTTGCTTTGGAGTAGGAAGGTCTACGATTTCACTGTTGAGCATTGAAATAATGGTAAGAACAGTTGGTCTATCGTTTATAGATTCTTCAACACATAACAGTCCCACTTGGATGCACCTCAAAATCTCTGATTGAAAGCACGGTTCGTATATTGTTGGATCAATCAAAGCAATAAGATTGTCTTCTGTCCACAACTTCCATGCCTGAAACCACGTTTATAAGTTTTATATAAGTTATTCAGATTTAAATACTATCAAGAACTTAAGACATTCACGTTTTTCTATTCATACTTACAAACTCCAATAAGCTTAAAGCATACTCATGGCGGTAGAACCCTGTGTTCCGTCTCCCACTTATGATCTCAAGCAATAAAACTCCAAAGCTAAAAACATCTGATTTCTCGGAAAACTGTCCTTGCATTGCATACTCAGGTGACATATACCCACTAAATTCATCAAAGCGACATATTTAATCATTGTTAGTTTGATAAGTAATACGATCAAAATGATATGAAAGAACAGAGGATACTTACTAAGTCCCAACGACCCTTATAGTATTGGCTTGCACTTCATTACTACCGAAAATTCTTGCCATACCAAAATCCGAGATTTTCGGATTCATATCTTTGTCTAATAATATATTACTAGCCTTCAAATCCCTATGAATGATTCTTAATCTCGAATCTCTATGAAGGTAAAGAAGACCTCGAGCAATTCCATCAACAATGTGGAATCGTTTTCTCCAATCCAAGAGTTTTTGTTTGTTCGAGTCTGCATGCAAAATAGTTTAATTATGGTGAGCGATCGATCATCAATAAAACGATATAACCGAAAGAGATGTTAAAATATCTAACCAAAGATGAAGGCATCCAAACTGAGGTTGGGCATATACTCATAGATAAGCATCTTCTCTTCTCTTTCGATGCAGCAGCCGAGAAGCTGTACGAGGTTTCTATGTTGTAGCTTTGATATCACGATCACTTCATTTATGAACTCTTCATACCCTTGATTTGAAGCTCTTGAAAGCCTCTTTATTGCTATTTCTTGTCCATCTAATAATACTCCCTGAGAGTATAAAATTTTAGCTACTTCAGCTACCCATATGCTTCCAATTACTTAGCCGATAAGTGATATAAAACCTACCTTATATACAGGACCAAACCCACCTTGTCCAAGCTTTTTACGTTGATCAAAGCTGTCTGTTGCGGTTGCCAGCTTCTCAAACTCATAAACAGGCAGTTCTTCAAGTTTAATTTTGTCCTCAATCATGTCATCATCCCTTCTTAACCTCAATCTCTTTCCTTTTTTGCTATACTCATCTGCAAAAGAATTCAATAATCTTAACGATATTGTCTGTTTTGGCTTATTACGTATCATTGTCATGGTTCTTATAACGCATCTACTAGAGAGAGGTTTCCACACTTTTATAAGAAATGTTCCGTTTCCCTCTCCAACCAAAGTGGGATCTCACAATCCACTCTATTTGGGGGGCTAGCATCTTCCCTAGCTGTGATGTTCCACATTGGTTGGGGAGGAGAACAAAACACCCTTTATAAGGGAGTGGAAACCTTCCCGTAGCAAACACGTTTTAAAGCGTTGAGGGGAAGCCTGAAAGGGAAAGCCGAAAGAGGACAATATATGCTAGCGGTGGATCTGGGTCGTTACAAATGGTATCAGAGCCAGACACCGAACGATGTGCCAGCCTTCTCGCTGTCCCCCGAAGGGGGTAGACACGAGGCGGTGTGCCAGTAAGGACACTGGCCCCAAAGGGGGTGGATTTGGTGGGGTCCCACATCTAATTGGAGAAAGGAACGAGTGTCAGTGAGGACACTGGCCCCGAAGGGGGTGGATTATGATGTCCCACATTGATTGGGGAGGAGAACAAAACACCCTTTATAAGGGAGTGAAAACCTTCCACTAGCAGAGGCTTTTTAAAGCCTTGAGGGAAAGCGTGAAAGGGGAAGTCTGAAAGAGACAATATCTGCTAGTGGTGGATCTGGCTAGTTACACTAGCACACCATCTGGTGTCAGTTATAACAGTCCCACGCTCACCACTAGTAGATATTGTCTATTTTTGCCCGTTACGTATCGCTATTAGCCTCATGGTTTTAATTCTCCGGCCAATGGGGATCTCACAACAATACTTTAAAAGTAATTCATGAGATTTCCTTTACCTCTTTTGTTAGCCTTCCATCTCCACCAGAAGCAAATGGCAATGAAGAAGATGATAAGCGTTGCTGGAAGAATTGCGGCTAGAATAATTCCAGTCTTGCTTTCTGCATCATCTAGGAATGAAAACAATGTCAAAGAAGCTCAATTTAGACACAAAATAATTACAGTATGAGTTTAAAGAAAGCCTACTAATTGTGTCTAACTCTGCCTCCGCCAGTCGAACATAAAGATCAGCTCCAATGCTTTCAAACTTCTGTACATCAACTAAGTCGCTTCTCCACAGCATACAACCAATACCATTTTCATATGCATAAGCTTTACACAAGCAATTCTCTAAGCACTCTTGTTTGCATTCATTAGCTGAAGAAGACGAATTAGACCACTCTGCCAAAAATGGAACTTTAACCAATTCCACTTTAAAAAACCCATCTTCCTCACCACCGGTGGCGTTGGTGGACTTCTCACACTGCAACGGTGCATTTCTCACACACCCATTACTCCAATTTCCTTGACTCCACTCCGCCGCGTTCCTTGGCTTAAACCCCCTTAAGCAGCTGCAAATTGGAGATGCATTCGCATTACATATCCCGAACGGCCCACAAGCACCGTAGAAATCACACGGCGTTCTAAGAGCCGACCAAGCTGCCGCCCAGCTTTCCTCCGACGGATCCCAGTACTCTTGCAATAGATTGCCTTGCGGGCTTAATATCATGGTATTGAGTAATTGATTGTCGTTATTATAAGAAATTGAGAAATAATAAGTTTGGTTTTCATTCTCAAGATTAAACCCACTGCGATAAACAGAGATCATTTCGGGTACTCCCATGAAAGTCAGACCGTTCCATGGACCAGATCTCCAATATGGGTTATTGCCATTCCAAATGACAGCTTCAGGGATACTCCGAACATCTAAGGCTAAAGAAAAGTTACCTGTAGATGGATCGGAAGCGGTTTTCCATGAGGTAAACTCGACCTTCTCGGTGGTTCTTTTGCTTGAGATGAGTTTCATGGGAGGCAAGAATGAATTGGAAGGATGTTTGAAGCTCTCCCATATAACCAACCCAGAAGCAGGATCTTCCAAAACAAGGTTGCCCGAATCGAGGATTCGAGCGGTTGTGTTGGCTGTTGGAGAAGTAACATTTGAAGACCAGAGGACGGTGTGGTTTCCATTTGAGACGACAAGGTTTCCATCCTTGGAAATCGTGAAAATCCCAGAAGAATCGTGGAGAGGGTTGTTTGCATTTGCTACCCACACAATGGTTTGCAAGGGGATTTGGTTGTACCAAATCCCGACATATCGGGCGGTGGAATTAAGTGGTGTGAAGAACCCCAACTGGAAGGAGCTGCCATTTGAGGTTATGGTTGCTGGGTCTTTGATGAAACTTTCAGATGTGATTGAATCTTTGCCGAAGCATATAGATGAAAGAAGAAGAAGAAATGAGAAGGCGCAGATGTTGTTGGGGTTCATTTGTGTGGCTGAATACTAATGATGAACCGAAACAGAGTTGAAAATACTAACTTGTTTTGAAATAACCATTGGAGGGTGGATCCATTCGACTTGTTTCCACACGCTTCGGTTGTTGAGTCTGTAGCCGCCAAAACAGGAAGAACACTTTCTGGGGATGTTTTAAAACACATTCGTTTCTTGAAGTGGGTTTTTTGATAGAAGTTTTTTGAACAACAAGTTCCGTGGGGAAGGGGAAGCCAACCCGGATCTACAACTGGGTTATCTCCAGGATTCAATGTCTATTCGTTTGACTTTTTTGTATTTCTTTGACGTTGAATATTGATCATATTTCAAATCGCCACTTTACATGACTTTTTTTACTCTGTGTTCCCACGACATTCATCTATTATTTTGACTTTAAGCTTTGGATGATTAGGGCACGTAGGATATATATATATATATATATATATATATATTTTAATTTTGGAATATTTTGGATTTTAAATTAGTTAGTCAACGTCTATATTATCTTTCCAAAATGTGGACAGGGCTTTTCATAAGTAATTAAGATCAGTTCTACCGGCGGCTCTCAAACTTATTTATATCAAACAAGTCTCTTCCATACAGTATGCAATGAGAGTACCATTCTCATATGCATAAGCTACAATTCTTCAACCACTCGCGTTTGCAATCAGCTTTAGAAGCAGAAGCATTGGACCACTCTGCATAAAATGGCACCTTAACCATTAACAACTGCAAAAATCCATCTTCCTCAACAGTACTTAGTGTCAATGCTCAATTTCTTACACACTTCAATGGCATATTTCTCATACACCCGCCGCTCCCATTTCCTCGATTCCATTCCTCTTCTGGGCTTGACTTGAGCAGCTACAAACGATATCAGAGTCAGACACCGAGCAGTATGACAGCAAAGTCGCTGACCCCAAAAAAGTGGAGTGTGAGATTACAATATTACTTATAAGCACGTGGAAACCTCTATACCTAATAGGCGTTTTATAAAACAGAAAGCAACATATTCCAAAACCAGATTATCAGAATCTAAAACCGGGCGCTCGCGTCGGTTGCAGACCCATTAGAATCCTTGAGAGGGTTGCCAGCCATACAACCAGTTGCACAGAAATTTGTTGCTTGAACCAAATTCCGACGTATCGCTTGGTGGAGTTGAGAGGTGCAAAGAAGCCCAACTCGAAGCAAGTGGCATTGGAAATTATGGTTGCAGGATCTTTGATGGAACATAGATTTAGGCTGAATGGACTCAATTTCTTCAGCAATGGCGTCTGCGTCTACGGGCATGACAAAGAAAATTGGAGCCAATAATATAATATTGTATTGAGAAGAACTGAATCCCACTTTGAAATTTGATCAATAAAACACTAAAAAAATCATTACTTCTCTCTGTTCTGTCCACTGAAACCAATTGAATAATAAATCGCCTTTGAAATTTCGACGTGATGAACACCATAGGCCTGGTTCTTCCCACCTTGTTTTCAATACAATCAAAAGTTCCATCCTCACCGGCAACGATAAACTCCACCACTCATGAAACCCATCACCAACTCCACGCCATTAACCCTTCTTCTCCTTTGCTCTGTTTTCAAATTTTCCTGCTGCATAGATACGATCACATCCACACAATTCCTCAAAGACCCAGAAACTATACTGTCCAATCGTGGTTTCTTCGAATTGGGTTTCTTCAGCCCTCTCAATTCCACCAATCGCTATGTCGGAATTTGGGATAAACGTGTGCCTGTACGAACCATCTTCTGGGTAGCTAACAGAGACAATCCTCTCAAAAACAAATCCGGGGTTTTTGCCGTATCCATTGATGGAAATCTCGTCGTTTTAGATGCGCATAACAAAACTCTTTGGAATTCTAATGTTTCTAACGCTGTAGTGAAATCAACCGCTCGGCTTCTTGATTCTGGGAACCTTATTCTACAAGACTCTGCTTCAGGGACCATCATATGGGAGAGTTTCAAAGACCCATCAGACAAATTCTTGCCAATGATGAAATTCATGACCAATTCAATCACAAACGAGAAAGTAGAAATCGTTTCGTGGAAAACCCCTTCTGATCCATCTTCAGGAGATTTCTCCTTTGGAATCGACCCTCTGACGATCCCTGAAGTTATTATTTGGAAGAACAACCGCACGTATTGGAGGTCCGGTCCATGGGACGGCCAAGTTTTCATTGGAATACCCGGCATGAACACAGACTATCTCTATGGAGCTAATCTGATAATCGAAAACAAAACATACTCTCTCTCCATTGCCAATGCAAACGAAGCTCAGTTATACTTCTACTACTTGAACCCGAGTGGGGCTTTGGAAGAGAAGCATTGGGATATCGAGGACCAGAAATGGGAGATCGCTTGGTTAGCTCCGGAAACAGAGTGTGATATCTATGGCGCCTGTGGGGCATTTGGAGTCTGTAATTCACAAAAATCCCCAATTTGCAGTTGTTTGAGGGGTTTTAAGCCAGAGAACGAAGAGGAATGGAACAGAGGAAATTGGAGAAGTGGGTGTGTGAGGAATTCGCCACTGGAGTGTGGGAAGAAGAACATCAGTGTTGAAATGGGAACAGATCAAGATGGGTTTTTGAAGGTGGGAATGGTTAAAGTTCCAGACTTTGCAGCTTGGGTTGTTGCTTCGGAAGATGATTGCAGAGTCCAGTGCTTGGCGAACTGTTCTTGTTCTGCTTATGCTTATAGAACAGGGATTGGGTGTATGATATGGAGAGGCGATTTGATTGACATTCAAGAGTTCAAGAATGGTGGAGCCGACATTTATGTTCGTGTGGCGTATTCAGACATAGCTAGTATGAACTCATTTCATTCCATGAGTGTCAGTTTAAATCTCGTACGTATGGTATCTTCTTCTTTAATTTGTTCTATTACAGATGAAAGTGGAACCACCAAAGACATGAAAGCAGTCATCGTAGCTTCCGTGGTAGCAGGAACCTTTATACTTATCTGCTCCATATATTGCTTATGTAAGTAGAGTACATGCACCAATCCCGTTCGCTACCAGATATTGTCTTTTCTGAACCTTTTCTTTTAAGGTTTATTCAACGTTTTAAAGCAAGTTAGAAACCACCCTTATCAAGAATGTTTCGTTCCTCTCTTTAACCGACGTGGATCTCACAGTCTATCCTTGGGGACCAATGTCTTCGCTGTCACATCTCCCAATGCATGGTCCTGATATCCCACGTCGGTTAGAGAGGAGAACTAAACATTCCTTAAATGGTATAAAAATCTCTCCTTAATAGACGCGTTTGGAGTGTTACATCGAAATTATGTTACTGAAATTACAAGATGGGAACAGGGAAAGTGCAAATGCAAAGGCAGAAAAGGAAAGAGCAGAGGAAGTTCTTGATGAACAGTGGTGAGATGAAGCATGACAAAGTGAACCAAGTGAAGCTCCAGGAGCTGCCTCTATTTGACTTTGAGAAGCTAGCCACTGCAACAAACCACTTCCATTTCAACAACAAGCTTGGTCAGGGTGGGTTTGGGCCAGTTTACAAGGTGGAATAGTTCTTTCCTGTATGTTCCTTTCTTTTCGTTGAAGAAAGATGATGAAAATTTGGCATCATTTGCTGCAGGGGAAGCTGGTAGATGGACCAGAAATAGCAGTAAAGAGGCTTTCCAGGACCTCAGGACAAGGGCTTGAAGAGTTCACAAATGAAGTTATGGTGATCTCGAAACTACAACACAGAAATCTTGTGCAGCTCTTTGGGTGTTGCGTGGAGGGAGAAGAAAGGATGCTTGTTTATGAGTATATGCCAAATGGAAGCTTAGATTCAATCATTTTTGGTTGGCTTGCAATATAACTTTACACCTTTTTTAGTTCTTCATCTATTGTTTTAATCATCTCTTTGGAAAACAATATGCAGATTCAACTAAAGGAAGAGTTTTAGATTGGCAAAAAAGATTCAACGTTATCGAAGGAATTGTTCGAGGGCTCTTATATCTTCATAGGGATTCACGACTAAAAATCATTCATAGAGATCTCAAACCCAGTAATATTCTACTGGATAGAGATTTAAATCCCAAGATTTCTGATTTCGGTACTGCCAGAATTTTTTACGGCAATGAAGCTCAAGCTAACACTACAAGAGTTGTGGGTACCTAGTAAGTTCCTCTCGTGAGTTATATTTATGTATAGTGTCCAAATTCTAGCACAAAAACTAATAATTTTTTTTCGTAATTTTAGTGGCTATATGTCTCCTGAATATGTGTTGAATGGGCAATTCTCAGAGAAATCAGATGTGTTTAGTTTTGGAGTCTTATTGCTTGAAATTATCAGCGGAAGAAAGAACACAAGTTTTTATCGGAACGAACATGCCTTGAGCCTTCTAAAATTTGTAAGTGTTTATCCATCAAATTTCGTAAGATTTGTACATCATTCCTCTATTAACATCATTTGATACCTTTCTCGTGTCAATTTAGGCATGGAAGTTATGGATGGAGGCTAATGTAGTTGCTTTGATTGATCAAACAATGTCTAAACTGCATCATGAAGCAGAGATTTTGAGGTGTATTCATGTAGGGCTCTTGTGTGTTCAAGAATTTGCAAACGACAGACCAAACATAACAACAATTCTTTCAATGCTTCACAATGAGATCGCTGATCTTCCGATGCCAAAACAACCTGGATTTAGTAGCAGCAACCAAATTGAGATTCGTACCGAGAGATTCGAACAAAATCATCTTGAAACTTGCTCGAAAAACATGATCACAATTACCTCATTTAATGGTCGATAATTCTCAAGGATGTAAGTGGAAAAGTTGAATGTACACAAATACTATATTATTTATTTATTTATTTATTTTTGTTCAGCCTATTAAAAAAGTTTTGTTGATGCTTAACAATAAATTTTTTAAATGCAAACCGATCACAATTTTAATATTTTATTGAATCAATTTAATAACCCATACGGTCAATTAATTCAAGAATACTACAATTTTTCTCTTTGATCTATAATTGACTTTGATATAAATAAATAAATAAATTCAGATATATATTTTATATGATCTCCTATTAAGATATTATTAAATAACTATATGATTTTTTTTTCATCGATAATTTTATATTTTGCCACCTAATTTTTTTAAATATGTTAAATTTTAAAAACTATAATAAGTAGTTTATAATTTTATTTTTAAAGTTGGATTGAAAAAATAACCCAATTCAAAAATTTAAAATATTGAAATATTAAAGAAGAAATTATAAAATAATTAATAAATATTTAAAATGGTTACAGAAATGGTAGAGATGTCAACTTAAACGTTTCTTGTACACGACACATCACAATCTCTTTAGGTCTATCATATTCATAATATAAAATACACCAAACGTGTAGACTCATTAACACGTTGAAGATAA